TTTTTTTTTTTACAGCAAGGCTTAGTCCTAGGAGCATCCCAAGGTTCAGACAGGCAGACTACGATAGGTGGCCCAGCCAGGCGGGCAGCCAGACAGATAGATGTGCAGGCGGTCAGGCAAACAGGCAGGCAGAGACGCAGACAAAAAGGTGTTGACCTGGCCTTGGCCCACAGGCACCCCGACAGGCAGGCATGCAAATGGTCGGCGCAGATGGTCAAGCGTCTACTCCGTGTGAACAATTATCAGCGGATGTTGACCTGGCGCTGACCCGCGGATGACCCGTGCAGACGATCATCTAATTTGCAGTTGGCATATTCTTTGTTGTTCGTGGTGGCCAGCGCAGATGGTCAAGTGTATGGTCAAGATAATGTTGCGGTTGAGACACATGGTCGGAGAGCGACTGCAGGATCATCACGCTCCGATGTGCCGATGCACATCAATGAAGCAGATGATCTAGATGTTTTATATGATCATGACCTCTATGCTGATGATGATTCCAGAATCCACAAGTACATTGAAGATTGTGAACAGTATGCGTATACCATGGCAAGGGAGATGCATGATATGGAACAGCATAGGCATCAATCGAATGCTGTCGTGCGGTATGGTGTGGTGGGTAAGGTTCCAAATGATCATGCCTTGAGGGAAGTATTTGGTAGGTTTGTTACGGACAACCAAGGACTTCGTTGGACTCAGGATGAGTTATTGGATATGTTGAAGAAGAAGGAGGTGGCAGTGGATGCTGTTAAGAGTGCGTTGGCCAACATTGAGGTTAACGCAAAGTCAGTGATGGAAAAATTCGTTCAAGAGGCACAAAACGATGAGGTGAGAGATTCCTCTGTGCCCGATACTGCGCGTGTCCAAGAAGAGCCAAAAGTTAATATGGACATTGAGATGCGGGTTCGTTCTCGGATGAGGTCGAAGATTCGAGATGATTTGATTGGTGAGATTGTTAAGTATAGCACCCAAGTTCATCCCCACGTGCTGGAAGAGTGTGATGGTTTTCGTCGGCGACTTGAAAAGGCGGAATGTGCAGTGAGGAGATTGTTGTCCTGTCGTGGCCTGGCATGGGAAGATCCATCTTCTCGAAATGCAGTCTTCAATTTCCGATCAACTGAAATTTTGGAGGCTCTTCCTGAAAAGCGATCTAATTGCGATGTTACAATCAATTCGAACTGTTGCTTCTAAGCTGGCTCACAGAAATGCAATGTTGGAGGTGCAAAATGCCATGCAGTTTCCTGTTAGCGACAACCAGATGAGGGCAACAGTGGTCAATCTTGGCCAATTGTATAAGAAAGCACACGAAGAGTTGATGAATGTTGTGTTTTTGGACAAATTTGGTGACCGGTGGGATTACCACTCCAAGTTTTATTGGGCTCAACGTCAGACTGAGCAGATGTACAAGCTTAGGAAATTGCTTGGTGACGTTGTGCTAGCTTATTCGCCAAACGATTTATCGAGGAGTTAAGGAATGTGAAGAAGGAGTTGAATGTTCTTGCAAGCATCAATAAAGAACATGAAAAAAACCTCAATGAGATTGTGATTGCATTGGTGGAATCTTTGAGTCACCAATGTCCTAGATGTCGTCGAACATATTGGGCACAATTAGACTTTGCAAGGATAAATGAACTCTCGGTTGTTAAACCGAAATGTGATGGGAGCACAAACATTTATCCTGATGGACATAGTCAGGTCAATGAGGACAATGAATTTGCGATGTTAGAAAGGAGGAAGCGACTTCGCGAATTGGCAGAGGAAGATAAACAAGAGTGAAAGAGGAGGGAAGAGAGGAAAGAGCCGAAGGATGTAGGGTCTAGGGATGACAATAGTTGCAAAGGGAGAAAGGAACTATAAATAGAAGAGAAAAAATTGTTGTTTGTTGTTCTAACTTTAAGCGCATCGTTTGATGTGTTGTTAGATAGGTAGATGAGTGAAGCTTCGTAGACAGGATGATGCAGGAGTGGGAGTGGGTAGATTGAGATGGATAACGAGGAGGTGGAGTGGGATGGTGGGAGGAACGCGTGAATTCAATTTTTTTTTATTCCATTAATGATGATGACACTTGAAAGTCTCTGTCTCTCTCTTTTCCTCTCTCTGTTTCTCTCTTATTTAAGTTGTCTCTCTCTTTGTCTTTCTGTCTTTCTCTTTCGGTCTTTCTCTCTCTGTCTTATTTAAGCCATTTCTCTCTCTTTCCTTTTTTTTTTTTTTCTTTCGTTTTTTTTTCTCTTGAGAACTATTCATGGAATAAAAAGAAAATATTGTTGACAAAAAAAAATAAAATTCACCTTGGTTATTTATTGCTATGTGATCTCGTGTTTTACATGTTCTTGGTAATGGAGATGATATTAATCCTTAGTTGCTAACATTTTTTTAATTCTGTTTGTGAATATTGTAGAGTTTTGTCTGTCCGTTCTTATACTGTTCTACTTATTCTTAATAAACAACCAGGTGCGTATCTGTTAAAATATACAGATGAGATAATATTAAAAATTGGTTGAGATGAATAAGAAGTTAAGAAAAAAAAAAAATAGTGTTAAATCAACTTAAATGTTATGTGATATTATAATATGAATTTTATGAATAATTAGAAAGAAAGAGTCAAATAGTAAGATTAAAAAACAACAATAAACTTTGTCTGCCTTCCAATAAACGCTATCGAAGGAAAGCAAAGGATGCTCAAAAATAATCAAGATACGTATGATTTGTCTATATGGGCCGCTGAAAATACTCAAACACTTATGTGAAGCAAATTAACTGTGATTGGGAGGGTGAGATCTCACCGTGTAATTCGAAAGAATATTGGAGAAGGAACCAATCCGATAAGAAAGAATAAAGATGACAATAAACGTAGCCTTTTTTCCAAGACACCCATGCTATCCCGAATGACCTCCTCTTGGCTATACCTATTCCAAAAGGTCCTGTTCTCTACCCCCTTTGCTCCTATTTCATCAAAGTCACCCATGCAAAATAGGAGTAGAAAGATGAGGTCATCAACCGTTTACCCAACCTCGATCGCTAGGAATGACTCTTCCTGGATCCACGACCTTCGAGGCTGGCTGGGGGGAGGTGCGGTATGCCGCATAGACCCATTTATGGGGGTGGTGCAATGTTGTTGCGGTGGAGCCAACGCCTACTTATGAGATCTGGGCCTCCTGCTCAGGCGAGGAGAATGGGTACTACAGATTACTTCCTAGCGATCGAGCCTCGGAAAGGTCGGCGAAGACATCTTACCTTTTTCAAATCTTTTGTGGACGGATGACTGACTTAGGATACTTAAGGCTGGCCGCAAGTAGGAGCCGCCTTGATTATGGTGGATTGGAGCCAAAAGAAGTTCCGATCCCAGTGACAGATTTATCCGAACAGGAAAGTCAACCCTGCCAGAGAATGACAAAGGGCAAATGTGGATAGACGAGGTACGTATGACTCTATCGCATGGGGCCCTGGAAAGACTAAGGGGCGTATATGATCATAAATCGAACATAAGAAACAAATATGGCATACGAAAATAATAGGAGATGTGTTAATTAACCTCAATAGGAGTTCAAAAAAATTTCCGTCCCGGTCAAACATTTGCAAGAACATGAAAGTGGACCTATGCATCTATATTTGCACAAATGAATAAATTCCAATATGAATTAGCATTGATTAACCTCGATAGACAAACTCAAGGAAAAAAAAAAAACGAACTGACTCCTTTTTTTTTATATTGTCCGTGCTTCTCATTTTGGCTGCGTTCTTTGTGTTGCACTATGTCTTCTTTGTTTTTGCTTTTTTTTTATTTTCTACTTTGCATTATATTACTCTTCTTTATATAATTACATTTATATATATATGTGGATGTTTTGAGGTGTATTCTTTTCGCTCCGACTGCCTATATGCATCTTATTCCTCCTATCCACCGTGACGTGCCCATGTACAAATACGTATGTACATGCCCATTAATTTGCCAGAGGACCAAGACCCGCGTGACACTTCGACCAACAGTAATCTATCCACCATTCCAACCTTCTCTTCACCTGCGGATAGGTCCTTGCATGTTCCGTGGAAACGTCGCAAACGCCATCGGCCTTTTGAAAGGGTTGTTAATGATCCTTTGTTGTCCTCGCCGATAATATCAGAATGTACTCGGTGTGCTTCCATTATTCCAGATCAACTGGGTTTGTCTGTGTTCGAGGGCCCTTCTTCCTCATCCAACCATGGATTGGGATTGCCCATAGGTTCGGATGTTACTCCTTGTTGCCCTACGAGTGAGATGAGGATGTCATCACAACACGAACACCGCAAACGCGGACGACCACCTTCCCAAAGTCGTCGAACCCGGAGGTCCTTATTACAAGCGGTAGGTGTTGTAGATGAGCCAAGTACTCGCAGGAGAGATAAACAACCTGTGGTTAGTCAAGATTATACTCTTGATTGTTCTAATGAAGACCAATGTAGTGATATGTCTCTATCTTTTCGACAATCAATTCCATCGATGAATGATTTCACAAGCCCCGTGTTTTTCAACAGAATGAGTCGATGAGATAATAATGTTGGTAGGGATCGGATTAGTTGTCTTAGAAATCTCTCTGTGGCCTTGCAAAGTGAATGTCCACTTGAAATCCGTACGACTGTCGGAATAAATGCAGATTCCGTTTCGATTGTCGAAAAATCCGTTTTACTCGATAGTTTTCCCTCGCACTCGGCACATGTGCACAATTGTTCATCGTCCACATTGACTGCGCATGTCCCACAAAGATTTGTGGAGAGTGATGTTCATCCTCCGTTGACGAATGTTCATGCAAATGCATCTTCTGTTGCCACGACGACGCCGAATTCGCCGAACACGTTGATTAGAAAGTTTGTTGGTTTTCATAATCGACGGAAAATATTATTATTATAGAAACCGATTCGTTCAAGGCGCAACAGATGATACCGTATGTTATTGATTCGACAACTCCGTGCAAATAAAGTAATGCGTCGTTTGGAACGTGAATCGTTGCCGTCGATAACTCACCATGTGCCATCGAGCTATGATGCAAGTGCAATAGTTGTTGAAAGTACTGTAGAGGGTGATGAACGAATGGAACAAGTTGATAGAATGAATGTGAATGAACCATCTTCTACGTCGCGTACGATTTCGAAACGAAGGAAAAGTAAGCGAAGACGACCAAAGTATTATGTTAAACGTATGTGTGCATTGAGAGCTGCGCTTAAGAATCGTAGGAGGAAAAAATATGTGTGTGCTCATAAAAACTTTGTACAGGGTGTGAGGCGCAGTTTGTTCGCTGTCAATATTCTTCGAGAGATTCGAGCGAGTGTCTCTGCGCAATCGAGGAACGCTTCTTCTCCTGCGAGACAATCGCAAAGTTGTTCTTCTTGGTCGAGGCAGTCGCGGTCTGTCATTGAGAGCGAGGCAATCGCAGAATCCGCCCATGAGAAATCAAAATTCAGTGAATAATCTCGAAGATAGTGAGCCGGATATTCGCGAAGAAGAAATGAACGATTCGCATGATATTCCGGGTCCTGATCTTAATGCACCCCCATCGACACCTGTGGCGACAACATATGCGGCGGTTGAGAACATGGTGGCGATTCTTGGGAATGCTAGCACTGTTGAAGCGTTCAGCCTTGGTGGTCGAGATCCGTGTAACCATTGTGGTGCTAAATTATGGCGTGAAGGAAAGAAATGGACAAAGATGTGTTGTCGAAAAGGTACGAAACGTTGTCCTTTATGGGAACGGCCTTGCGAAGATTCCACGGAGCACGAGATTCTTTATTTTTGGACGTCTCAAAGTTCGGACGGTCGATTTCTTCGAAAGAATACGAGTATAATTAATAATAGTTTGTCGCTCGTATCCTCGCGGTTGAAGCAACCGAGCGATGGTATTCAAGGATTCCAGGGCCAGCTTCGGGCTCAAGGTCTAATCTTTCATCGGGTCGGTGCATTGGCTGTGGGGGAAGGGGAACGTCCTCAGTTTGCACAACTATACTTGCACGATCCTCAACGTTTGGATGATGCGATTGATCAAAGGGTAGATTTCCTTAACTTATCTGCAAGTACATCCAATGCCGAACTTGATCAAACAAAACGCATATTGAGAAGGTTTCACGAATTGCTACAACGATGTAACAATCACGTGAAGGACTTTATGACGGTTGCAGACCTTTTGCGGGAAGCGTTGAACGGGAGGAAGTTGGTCATAAACCCGAATGTCATGCCTGATGGGGAACATGCAAGGCGTTATAACCGTCCTATGGGTTTACATGAGGTGTGTGTTCTGATGGCCGATGAACTACTTCCTCGTGAGCTTGAGATTCGTTTGCGTGCTCCTCTTCCGGGTGAGCAGCAGACGGTTAGTTTCCGGAATGTTCTCAAGCGCACGAATGCTTAAGGTTTGTTTTATTTTTCCCGGAGGGAATTGATAGTTGGTCTGTTAGACGTGCCTCGGAAGTTGGATGACCGCCAGCACTTAGTGTCAAGGAGTATTATGCTTTTCACCTTCACGAGCGCCATGGTGAAAGGCCTTGCCTCCTTTATGCAACACGTCTCTTCCACGAGTTTTGTTGTATGGCGTACGCTAAAGTTGAGTCTCTCCGCTTTAAATGGGTGAGATTCCACCAGAAAGAATTGCGCTCGGAGTATTATCAGGATTTAAGAGACGCAATGAATCAAAATCAACATGGTGATGGTGATAGGACAAAAGTGGTTTTACCATCAACGTTCACTGGGGGACCGTGATATATGACTGAAAGATATCACGACAGCATAGCAATTGTGAGGCGATTCAGAAAACCGGATTTTTTCATCACTATGACGTGCAACATTAACTGGCCGGAGATCAAACAAGCCCTGTTGCTAGGTCAATGTCCTAATAACAGGCCGGATCTTCTGGCGCGAGTGTTCAAAGGTTATCTTGCATAGCTGATTGATGAGATAAAGAATAAACGGATCTTTGGTAGGGTGAGTGGAATATTGTATGTGGTGGAGTTTCAAAAAAAGGGTCTACCACATGCACATATACTGGTTATCCTGCATCCGAATGATAAAATTCGGGAAGCGGATGCTGTTGACAATGTGGTGTGTGTCGAGATTCCTCCGGAAGGGGAATTGAGAGAAAGGGTGACCAAGTTCATGTTTCACGGGATTTGCGGTGCGGAGAAACGTGACGCTTCGTGCACGGAGGACGGAGAATGCACAAAAGGATTTCCGAAAGACTTCATTTCATCAACAACATTCAAGGACCAACAAACGTACCCTTCGTATAGGAGAAGGAAACCGAGTGATGGTGGTTTTATGATTGTTCAAAATGGAATCGTTTACGACAATCGGCGTGTAGTCCCGTATAACCCGTACTTGCTAATGAGGTTTAATTGCTACATAAATGTTGAATATTGTGCTAACATCAAGGCGTGCAAGTACGTGTATAAATACGTGTACAAAGGGTGTGATCGTGCTGTGATTTGTGAGCAAGATAATAATGCACCCATCGACGAGGTTAAATTGTATCAAGATGTGCGTGTTGTAGGTGCATGCGAAGCATGCTGGCGTTTATTTGAGTTTGACGTTGCGGAACAATGGCCGGCGGTCGAAAAATTGTCCGTGCATCTTGAAAACATGCAAGAAGTGCAATTTGAACCTGACACTGAGCATGACGTTGTTTCGCAAGGGCCTTCGAAAACGAAATTGACTGTTCGGATGGAACACAACTCTTTTAATGAGCATGTTCCTAAAGAGGAGATTCCTCTGTATGCAGAGATTGTTAATACTCATGTGTGGGATAACAAAAATAAGAAGTGGAACTGAAGAAAGTGTGATCTTCACGGCGGTCCCTTCGAAAAGATATCTCGGTTGCATCACGTGAGGATCACGGAAGGCGAACGATTCTATCTATGCGTGTTGCTAAACCATGAACATTTTCATGGGGTGCGCTCTTTTGCTAAAATTCGTACAGTGGACGGAGTAGAATACGATTCTTTTCGATTCGTATGTCTTCGATTGGTCCTTTTGCCAACAGACGATGCATACGATCAATGTATAGATACAGCCGCTGCACATTACATGCCTGAAGAAGTTCGTAAAATATTCGCTATGCTTCTCGCGTTTGGTCCAGTGAACGATCCGGTCCGTTTCTTCGAACGACATTGGGATAAGATGTCTGACGATTTTCTGTATCACCACGGCTGTGAAATCGTTCCCCCGAACATTTTGCAACCGTTGGTGTTATTCCATCTCGATCGGACTTTGCAAGAGTTTGGAAAAAACATCCGTCAATTTTGCCTTCATTATCCGACGCTTGATGGGGAAACAATTGCTGAGAACATAACCAGACATTACGAGAAAAGAACGGTGTCCTCGATTCTAAATGACGAGTTGTCGTATGATCCGATTGAAATGCAACGCAGATACGACTCTAATTTTCAATGTCTTCGTCCACGCCAATGAGTTTTGGTGGAAAGAGTCGTTCGGGCTGTGCAAGAGAAAATATCGTTGCGTCCTTTTGTTGATGCACCTGCTGAAACAGGAAAGACTTTTTGCATTGAAACAATTTTGACAGGCGCCAGCTCCCGTTCTAGCATTGCATTGGCCGTAGCGTCAAGTGGGATAGCGACGACTCTTTTGACGGGCGGTCGAACTTTTCACTCACGATTTCGCGCACCTTTGAAACCTGATAACACACGTCCCTTTCTGATTCCGAAACAAAATGATCTTGCGGAGCTTATCCGCCGTGCGGACTTGATTGTTTGGGATGAGGCCCCGATGAGTAACAAGTTTCACTTAGAAACTCTTGACATTACGCTTCAGGACCTCTGTAATAACGACGAGCTGTTTGGTTGGAAAGTCTTACGTCTTGCTGAGGATTTTAGACAGGTTTTGCCTGTTGTGAAACACGGATCGTGAGGGCAACAAATTGATGCGTTCATGAAAATGTCCCCTTTGTGAAAAATTTTTGAGGTTCATCAATTGATGGAAAATATGCGAATCTTAAGTTTGGGGAATGATGTAATGACACAAATGTATGACCACTTTTTTATGCGAATTGGGAATGGTGATCATCCTCGTGTTGTTGCTAATGAAGCTGCTGCGGTCAAATTGCCACGTGAGTTTTATACGGATAAATCGATTGATGAGTTGATTTCATGGACGTTTGATGATGTGTCGAATCATGTGAGGGATGCGAATTATTTCTTTCCTCGATTAATTATATGCCCTACTAATGACGATGCCACTTCTGTTAACAACCGTGTTCTTGATGAGGTGCGTGACGTTTTTAGTGTTGATTATCCTGATTCGGATGATATGGGACTCATTATTGAGCGGGAGTTCTTAAACTCTCTCGAGGAATCTGGCCTTCCGCCTTACAAGTTGCGCTTGAAAATTGGTGCACCTGTGATGCTTTTGCAGAATTTGTCACCGAAACAAGGACTTTGCAACGGTACTCGGCTGATTCTGAAAAAGATCGTTAATGATAATTTGTTGCAAGTTACCATAATGCACACGGGTAAGACAACACTGATCCCCAAGATTGATTTGACAAGCGATGGTGAGACCACGGGGTTCAAATGGTTTAGAAGATAATTTTCAGTTTGTCTCGCTTTTGCTGTCACTATTAACAAGTCGCAAGGACAAACTGTATCGCGTGCAGGGGTTTGGCTACGCAAACCGGTTTTTGCGCATGGCCAACTGTACGTTGCTTTGTCTCGTGTTGATCATCCCAACAACATCCGTGTTGCATTGCCTGATAAATTTTTTTTTACGAAGAATATTGTATATCATGAAATTTTAGGGTGAGTGATGTTTTTTTTTTTCTGCCGAGTCGTCACATTCCAAAATAATTTCCGTCATATTTTTTCTTTGCAGGCGACTCCCGAATTCCGTATAAGTATGACACTCGTGCTAAGAGGAAAGCAATGACAACCGTCAATATCACTGGACAAGATACGAATGTTGGATCAAAAGTTGGAGCCCAACGTTCTGAGAGGTCAAAGAAAAGTGAAAATGATGAAAGGTCAGTGAATCTTGGAAGTGAATGTGCTCGGGACGATCATCGTGCTATTAGTGATGTTGATCGTGGATGTTCCCAAGTGAATACCTTTGATGGTGCTGAAAAGATGGTTGTGGAGGGGGATGGTGATCATTATTGTGGTGATGGGGATGGTTCGTGTGGAGCTCGGTCGGGTAAGCCCTTGAAGCTTACATTTGCTGATGACGAGGATGATGACGTTACGGGTGATTCAAAAGAAGACTGCGTTCATTTTACATTCAAGAGAAGAAAGAGACGTGGTGCGACCGATATGCTCGAGGCTACGTTGGCTGATAATCATGTGGCACGACAACCCATTGTTAATGAAACGGCAACTCAGATTGCAAGAGCACTGTGTGAGTTGCCTGCTGATGCACTTGCATCTCTTCCGTTTGCTTGCTGGACGTGGACGTGTTAATGATTCGTCTTCGCAATCTCAACGCAGTGGACGCGAAAGACATATTTGCGGCACATCGCGACCAGAAAATCGTCCCCGCGTTGTTGTGCTGCCTGATAATAACGATGCACCCCCAATTCGCACTTCGAATCCCCGCGCTTATCTTGCTAGATGGTTTGACGATGCGAAGAAGGTTCGCATCCAAAATTTCTCGACTGAGGTTCTTTTTGAGATGTTTGTCAAAAATGCCACAGTTGTAAAAGATGGACGAATATGGAAAGACTTTCTGGAATGGAAAAGAAACAAACTCACTAATATGCGGTTGGAACGACGATCTCCTCTTCCTTCAGACCCGTTGAATGTTTCGGATTTGGAGGCTTCTTCCATGTTGCAATCACTTTTGAATGATGAGTTCATCGCTCTGTCTGATGAGGAGATTGCTAGGATGACGTTTCATTTGCCGCATTGTCCGACAGAAGGGACCATTCCCCGAGCCTTTCACTAATATGCACGTGTAGAGCAACTTCTCAAAATGATTCCTCCCGTTGTTGCTTATTCCACTCCTCATTCTGCTCCGGTCCCTAGAGTTCCCCTTCAAGCAGCATCTCCTCCAAATTTTCAACGTCTTGCGGATTATGCTTCACCTTCCAATATGTCAACCGCGATTGTCAGTCCTTCAGTTGTTGTTTCTGCTTTGTCGGCCGCTCCGCCTACTCCGTCTCCTACGAGTTGTGTTTTGCCCGCTCATATACCATCAAAAGACCATTTGCATGTCCATACAGAACCCTTGGAACAACCAAGTTCTTCTGATTTTGACATCGCCGTGTACGACTCTTTTCAATCTATTGGTCCCAAAAAGACACTTGCACACTTGTCCTATCTTGACAGTTCTCATAGGGTGCGAGATATTGTGGAAGCAACAACGTCGTTAAATACGAGCATGAACACTTGGAGATGTGTGGACGCAACAATTCACCTCGATTACAATCGGCAAAGACAAGGTTGATTCAAAACTTTTCACGAGTATCGTCGCAAAGTGCTGCAACAAGTTTCTGTTCGTGAGGTGCTGCAAGAGTATCGTTCCAGTGAAGGAAGTTGATTGGTCTTATGAGAGAGATAGGGAACAGAGAGTTGTTGATTCGGTGGTTGTCCAAGCGTTACGTTAATGACAATTTTTTTTATGATCAGCTTCGGTTTTGGTTGAGTAATTGCGCTTGCAAGAAAGATAGGAAGAGAGACATAAATAAATGGGAGGGAAGATAGATAGAGATAGAGATAGATTGATAGATAGATAGATAGATAGAGAAAGAGAGAGAGAGAAAGAGAGAGAGAGAGAGAGAGAGAGAGAGAGAGAGAGAGAGAGAGAGAGAGAGAGAGAGAGAGAGAGAGAGAGAGANAGAGAGAGAGAGAGAGAGAGAGAGAGAGAGAGAGAGAGAGAGAGAGAGAGAGAGAGAGAGAGAGAGAGAGAGAGAGACTACAAAATAATTTTAACTTGACATTATTACATTTTTTTACGTTCAGGTCGATTCCATTTCACAATCATAGTGCCTTGATCATACTGTGGCCACTTGCTAACTTTAATGGGTCAATAAATGAATGCTCATATTAAACTTATTCTGTTTTTATACTGATGTTGATCTTTTTTCTTTCTTTGCTGTTTTGTTGATTTCTCTCTCTCTGTCTTTGTATGTCTCCATATCTCCCTCTCTCTCTCTGTGTTTCTCTCTCTCTCTCCTCTTTCCCTCCCTCTCTCTCTCTTTCTCTCTCCCTTTCTCTGTTTGTCTATGCGTGTTTCATTTCTTGAATTTGTTAATAGTGGTGAAATGAAATGAAATTTACAGCTTTGTCTGGGCATAACTTTTTTCTTTTTTTCTTTTGTTTTTTGCGGGCATTGCCCGCACTGCCCGCGCCGCGGGCGCTTAGCTAGTAATAATAATAGTGACTGTAAGAGCATAGCAAATTGTGTATTTTTTTTTCGAAAAAAAAATAAATAAAAATGTGCAATTTTGCCCTGGGAGAAGGTATTAAATACCCCCGCTGTGAAACCTCTGTATTTGAACTCGTTGCATCCGTAATGGGGCAAAAAGAAAAAGATGAAGGATCGGGAAAAGTCATAAAACCTCCCCGCGACGAAACCCCTTTGTATCCATTTCCCCCGAAACGGGGAAAAAAGACCCGCAGGTCCAAAGTCACTTTGCGTGTCGTAACGACTGCTGTGTAAGAATGGCGGGAAAGTGTTATTCAGGGTGCAAAAATGACGCCGAGAGTGATCTCGGGGCCTGCAGCACCTTTTCCCCCGGTTGGGGGGGAAATCGATAGAAAGACTTCGTCGTGGGGAGGTTTTATGACTTTTTTCTTTCGCCTGCCCTCAAAGGAACTTACACCCCTGCTGGGCCTGTAACCGCTCTGTGCAAACATAGCGGGAAAATAATTTTCACGCCATGCAGGGATAGCAAAATGACGCCCAGGTTCCTGGACCTGGGGCCTCAGCCCACATGCAAGGTTTAGTAGCAGAAAATGAGACTGGGCGACAACACGGCTGCTGTCAGTACTGGGAGGCTTTTGACGCCGTCCGATCGGCACGGCAGGAGGGCCATGAGCCAGCATGACGGGTCGTCGAATTGCTACATCTGGGGCGAAGTCCCACTACCAAATAGAATTGGATCGAACGCCTGAATCTAGACGTCTTCGCCAGAAAGATGCAGAAAATAGAGATTGAACTGCTTTTCTGCACCTCTTCTTTTCTGCACCTCTTCTCAAAACACGTCCAGATTCCCGGAGTTTAATCGGATCCTCTTTGCAAGTCGGACCTGGCCCCTGTTGAGTTGCGTAAATATCCCTGCCTCTTCACGTGTTACCGGAAGTCAGTGCTTCATGCGAAGGCCTATTCTGCCCGCCAACAGACTACCGATGAGGAATTGGGGCGTTTAGTTAGCTATGACACTTTTTTGACCATAGTAAACCAAACGTCCCGCGCCTCCCCGTGTGCTGCGCCGACATGTTTTTTGCCATTGAACACCTCCCGTTTCGGGGGGAAAGCTGCCACTTCCGCGCGCTGGGCTAACAACCGCTGGATTTTTTTTGCAATCCACGTCTCTTTGGAGTCGCAAAGATGTCGCTACTAAACGCAACCCTTGCATGTGGGCAGAGGCCCCTGCACACCTGCTGGGGCTGTAACGGCTGTGTGCAAACAAGCGGGAAAATAATTTTCACGCCATGCCGGGATAGCAAAATGACGCCCAGGTTCCTTTACGGGCGTCGTAGACTTCTTGTCCCGTTTGGGGTGGAAACGGTGGAATGAAATAGAACGAAGGGTTCGTGGGGGGAGCAGTTACAGTAATAACTCTTCCCAAAAGCCCCTAGTGCGAGTAGGCCTACTCATCTGCTTCCGGCAGGGTTTGCACGCAGGTCTCCTGGCTGTCCCCAGTCCCAAGCGGTACACTCGACCTGCGATTTTTCGTTTTTTTTTTGGGCTTCAGACCTCCGACCAACCCAGGCGTCTAGAGATCAAGATGTGTTTGCTAGATTTTGGTGCGATTCCTTATCCTTTAAGGGAGGTGACGGCTGGCACGAGGAGCTGGGGGCTTGCGGCTAGAGATTCCTTATCCTACAAGGGAGGGAAGGGCTGGCGTCAGGAGCTGCCGGCTGGCGTCTAGAGATCAAGATCAATTCGTAAATTTAGGTGCAAACCCACAGAATGACTCACTGACAATTTCCTTCCCATCCAGCGGCCTAGCTCAAGTGGTTAGTGATGCAAGTGGCATTCAGGAGGTCGTGGGTTCAACCCCCATGGCCACCTGTGGCACACTCGGTGCCAACCAACTGAGATAGCTGGATCCTCCCAGTCTGTATTAGTAAGGTCTTCAGCCAACATGGGTGAGAGTGCGCGTGTGAGTGGGTTGTGTGTGGTGTGTGGGAGAGTGTTGGCTTTAGACACTACTGTCACCCGATGGGGGTGGGGGAAGATGAAAAGGGAGGCACAGTTACTGGCAAATTAGCCGGGCCCCCACCGGCGGCCCCAACCCTGCACCCTGCACCCTAGGACAAAGGGGCAAACATGCCATTACCTTCCTCCACCGAGAGAGGTAACCTCCCTTCACCAAAGAGAGGCAGAAAGCTATGCTTGCAGGGGTCCCCTGTATAGCCGTAAGAGTAGTGGTAGGTAGTGAGTGGGTTGTGTGTGGTGTGTGGGAGAGTGTTGGCTTTAGACACTACTGTTACCCGATGGGGGTGGGGGAAGATGAAAGGGGAGGCACAGTTACTGGCAAATGCTTGGTCCTTGTGTTAGCTGGGCCCCACCGGCGCCCCGAGCCCTGCACCCTAAACCCTAGGACAAAGGGGCAAACATGCCATTACCTTCCTCCACCGAGAGAGGGAACCTCCCTTCACCAAAGAGAGGCAGAAAGCTATGCTTGCAGGGGTCCCCTGTATAGCCTTAAGAGTAGTGGTAGGTAGTGAAACGAAAAAGATATAGCTGTCCCCCCATGAGGAGAAGACAAAAAAAAAACAAAAAACAAATTCCTTCCCAATCCTGACTTGATGATCTGCTCCAGGCAAGGGCTTGCAATCGCACGGGCCACGTGCGGTGACAGCTGGTCATCGCGCACTCGTCAAAACCCTGGTGGACCATCCATCGGAAAGTCTGCCGATGTCCTGCAGTCTGTCGCAGCTACATGTCCACCTCACCTAGTTGCAATCAGCATGCTCGGCCTGCCAACTTGTTCAAATCAACCAGCCTCTCAACCCAAGCCAGCTTCTACAGTAATATAATAGAGAGAGAGAGACAGAGAGAGAGACAGACACAGAGAGAGAGAGAGAGAGAGAGAGAGAGAGAGACAGAGAGAGACAGAGAGAGACAGAGACACACACACACACACACAGAGAGAGAGGGAGAGAGAGAGAGAGAGAGAGAGACAGAGAGAGACAGAGGCACAGAGAGAGAGAGAGAGAGAGAGAGAGAGAGAGAGA